GCCGGATCACTCCTCCTGTCAGAAGGTCAGCCAGCGTCTGGAATCTGGCGATTTGGACTTTCCCGCCTGTTGGACACTTGCGCTGGGTGCCCCTGGCACAAAAGCTTTTTGTGAGGATGGTGGACGGCTGCGCTCTTCCTCCTCTGTGCAGCCCCATGAGTCTGCAGCATCAGTGTTGACTTGGGACTAGAAACCAGTGCAGGCTCTGCCTGGAAGTGCCCCCTGTGCCATTGGAGGCACACAGTGGCTCCCCCAGGTTTTTCTGGTCCCTGGAAGTGACTCCTTGCAGCCGGTACCTTGGCTCCACCACATGGATTGGCTGCTGACTCAAATTTGATCTTTATTCAGCCCAGACATAACTCCCTATTATAGAACCGAATTCTAATCCTGAATCATTCCAGACCTCAGTGTTTGCCAGGGTCCTTGTTGGTATGGAAGTGTCTCAACTAAACTCACTGTCATCATACTCACAACAGTTAGATTTGCAGAGCCCAACATACGCAGCAGATCTTTTCAGATAGCCTTGTCAATAACACGGATTATATTTCCAGTTTCTACTGAAACTATATGTACACATTTGTCTTTTAAGCTCAGCCTGTTCTTTGAGCATCTAGCCTGAGTGGAATAGTTGTTACTCATTTTTAGTTTCTAATTTATGTAGTAAGCACTTTTCTGGGATTTGCCACATAGCTATCCCTTTTCCCAAGAAAATTCACTTGAAAGACATTGTGAACTTAGATATTTGCAAGGGAGTATCTGATGCAGGGAAAGAGCACAGGGTGTGGAGCTAGAAAGACTGAGATCTCGTGTTGGCTCTGCTCCTTCCCAGCTGTGCGACCTCTCCTGGAACATAGTAGGCATGCAGGGGCACAAGGGAAATGAACAACTGAATGAAATTCAGATTTTGTGATGAAAGCCAATGGTGATTTTATTTACCCAACAGAAATTTACTTTGGGAAAAACTGAAGTGCATCTGTCTGTAAAGAAAGGATGGCTCTCATACGTTTTTAGAGAAATGAAATGGCATTTCAGGAACTCTTATTTAGGCATACTGCTTAACATTACTCTTTGGAATCTGTGCACTGGAAATCTGTGTTGTCTGTGCCCACATCCATCTTCACATGTTTACAAAAGGCAAGGGTGCGGATCATGAAGAGAGCACACGAGGGAAGCAAAACCTGCTCTGAAATACAGATGTTGGAAACACCCAGCCCTGTAATGAAGCAGAAGTGGTGGGTCTTATTGAAACACTAGGACACCAGTTAAAGCAGATCCTGGCAGAATCCCAAATGGAACTCCACTAGAGGCCAAATGACAAGTAATAGTAACAGTCATCATAACAATTGTAAATAATAATATTTGCAAGGTGCACCATAGTTTATAAAGCATTTCCTCATATGATATTACCTCATTGGATATAATGGTTTACCACCATCTTCCTAAGATGCTGTGTGTGAGTTTATTATTGTGGTGGCTGTTGTTTCTCTTGAGGATATTTCAGATTTATCTTTGGAAATCGTATTGAGAAGCATCCTTGGCGATCAACAGGGAAACCAGGATTTCCCTTGGTATATAATCCCCTTTAAAACTCATGATCCAGTGTTTCTTTAACTTGATCTTTTTCTTTAAATGAAATCTTAGCCTAGTGATATTTTTAAATTTTATGCAAAGCGATGCTTCCTCAAGCCTGTGTGTACACTTGTCTCCAGTTTCACTGGAATTTGGAGGCTGTGGCAGGCCACTGTCTGTGTTTCTTTGAACATCCATTTGCACCTTTTTCTGTTTGACTCTTTGTTAGCATGAAGACTTGATTTTTTTAGTGCAACACACATTACTGTGCATATATGTGTATACACACGTGTGTGTGTGCTCGCACAAGGACGCAATGGGGTGGGAGTGTTCCAGAGAGAGTGCGCTCGACTTAGCATGTAACATTACTGTTGGTGAGCAGTTCAGAATGAGAGAATAAAGTGGTTCCCAAACTAAGTTGAAGAGACGGGCTCCCCTCCCCCAAATAATAATGCCTGGCCCAGGCGCCAGAGAGTGAGATCATATTACATTTCAACTGGGCTTAATTATGCTCTGGGTTGATTTAAACCGGAGCCAGCTCAAAGCAGACCCACATTAGCACAAATCCATGGCAAATCTTAGGAAAGCAATTGGCCTGGCTGGGGGATGTGCTCTGTGATGCTGTGAATATTAGCAGCCTTTTTATAAAGAATGTGCTGGAAGGATTGAAAAAAAATTAGGTTTGGGTGTCAGCACCTAATAATTGGTAAAGGCTTGTTTTGTTTTTAAATAGAGGAAACGTCCCTAAATCCAGCAGGGCATCAGCATCAGAAAATTGGAGAAGTATGTCAAGGCAAGGTTTGCATGCATTATAAAGGTCTCACTGTTTCCCTTAAAATAAAAGAAAAATGAGAGAAGTTAAGCTCCTGCTTCTTAGAATGTTGACACCAGAAAACAGCACTTGAGCAGAGGAATAACCTCATGAGAACCCGGCCCAGGGCACAGGGCTTCTGTGCTGGCTCCCACCGTATGAGTCTCTTGACCCATCTGTAGTAAAGGGACAGAACTTTCTTGCTAACTGTGCTCTGCTCTCTGTATCACACTGCTCCCCTCAGCTCAGAATATCAGCAGCCCTGTTTGTCCCCCGGGGAGCAGGGCAGCCAGAAAGAGGTGGAGTGGGAGCATTTGGCAGAATATCACCCATATAAGAGGAACCAGGCTGAGTCCCTCACCACACTGCGTTTAATTCCCCCTTCCCCATGCGGCTCTGGTTACACATGAAATCAGATTAAATATGGAGAATCAAGGTCTTGACTCAAATGCCTTCAAGTGGATGGTGGAAAATCAGTACTTCACTTTTTAAATATATTTTGTTTTAAAACTACCGATACTTGAGAGTTATAAATCACTGGCCATTTTAACAACTTTTCTCTCCTTTTTGTAAGTTTCAAGGTGAAAAAAAAAGAAAGTCCTAATAGAAAATCCTCAGTATGCTGCGTTATTTATAGGCAGACTTTTAGGGAAGCAGATAAAAATGTTGCAGAATAAACACAGAACTGCTTCGCAGACATTTGAACCACACTGAAAAAGAAAAAAAGAGGGAAGAAAATTGCAGAACATTTCAGACTCAAAGAGTTGGCCATTGTGCTCTGAAATGCTTACATTGAGGAATGAAAAGTCCAAGAGTTTGTTTCCCAGTGGACTGAGCACAGAAGGAAAGAGGCCCAGGAAAGTGGGGAGTGGGTGTCCTTGTGCAGACCAGTTGCGCACACCATTGCACCCACCTCCCGGTGCACACACATACACACTCCAGTCACTCACACACACCCCAGTGTGCACGCACACCCAGCAGTGGGAGGAGAGGCCGGATCACTCCTCCTGTCAGAAGGTCAGCCAGCGTCTGGAATCTGGCGATTTGGACTTTCCCGCCTGTTGGACACTTGCGCTGGGTGCCCCTGGCACAAAAGCTTTTTGTGAGGATGGTGGACGGCTGCGCTCTTCCTCCTCTGTGCAGCCCCATGAGTCTGCAGCATCAGTGTTGACTTGGGACTAGAAACCAGTGCAGGCTCTGCCTGGAAGTGCCCCCTGTGCCATTGGAGGCACACAGTGGCTCCCCCAGGTTTTTCTGGTCCCTGGAAGTGACTCCTTGCAGCCGGTACCTTGGCTCCACCACATGGATTGGCTGCTGACTCAAATTTGATCTTTATTCAGCCCAGACATAACTCCCTATTATAGAACCGAATTCTAATCCTGAATCATTCCAGACCTCAGTGTTTGCCAGGGTCCTTGTTGGTATGGAAGTGTCTCAACTAAACTCACTGTCATCATACTCACAACAGTTAGATTTGCAGAGCCCAACATACGCAGCAGATCTTTTCAGATAGCCTTGTCAATAACACGGATTATATTTCCAGTTTCTACTGAAACTATATGTACACATTTGTCTTTTAAGCTCAGCCTGTTCTTTGAGCATCTAGCCTGAGTGGAATAGTTGTTACTCATTTTTAGTTTCTAATTTATGTAGTAAGCACTTTTCTGGGATTTGCCACATAGCTATCCCTTTTCCCAAGAAAATTCACTTGAAAGACATTGTGAACTTAGATATTTGCAAGGGAGTATCTGATGCAGGGAAAGAGCACAGGGTGTGGAGCTAGAAAGACTGAGATCTCGTGTTGGCTCTGCTCCTTCCCAGCTGTGCGACCTCTCCTGGAACATAGTAGGCATGCAGGGGCACAAGGGAAATGAACAACTGAATGAAATTCAGATTTTGTGATGAAAGCCAATGGTGATTTTATTTACCCAACAGAAATTTACTTTGGGAAAAACTGAAGTGCATCTGTCTGTAAAGAAAGGATGGCTCTCATACGTTTTTAGAGAAATGAAATGGCATTTCAGGAACTCTTATTTAGGCATACTGCTTAACATTACTCTTTGGAATCTGTGCACTGAAGTGTGTGTGTGTGTGTCCTAGAAACCAAGCACATACCCTCCTCTGATTCTGTCCTCTCCATGCTGTTGTACACACACAGGAGCTGACGGGTAAACTGCCTGTGGAATACCCCCTGGATCCAGGGGAGGAACCACCCATTGTTCGAAGAAGAATCGGGACGGCCTTCAAGCTGGATGAGCAGAAAGTCCTGCCCAAAGGAGAGGTGTGACCTTCTTCCTGCTGTTGGATTTTCTCCCATAACCCTCATTTCCCCTATATGTTAGGGCGTCAGGTTTCCTATATCAATTTCTTCCTCCTACCCAATGCCCAGTGCCATTTCCCCTTCCGCCTGAGTATCTGTCCTTTGACCTTTGGTGAAGTTGAAGTTGGCTTGGTCAGGATGTAGCTCCCTTGCTGGGATTTGCTAGCTTGCGTTAGTAGCAAGTTGATTTCTGTGCAAGTTGTTTGTCTAACACCATAGGCTTGGTTCGCAAGTGGCTAAGTGAAGCTTGAGAGAACGTTCCAGTAAAACCATGTGTACTTACTTGTCTTTTTAATGGCCTCCCAGCCCTTTGTTACTCAGAGCCAAGCGTAGTGTCTGATCTATGGAAGAAAAAACCAAAGAAGAAAGAAAACTTAGGCCATGTCAACAGATGCAGAGATGCCATTGGCTGGGGGAAGATAGTAGAGCCTGCCCTCAGTGGCCTCACCTTAACCTTGCTGATAGAATTGCTGCCAGAGCGTGAGCAGGATGCTGGGCCCTCATGGCCTTGCTTGTTGGCCTTTGGAGGAGCCGCTGAAGCATCGCTCATTTTTCCTCTTTGACTAAACACTGGTCGGGGCTGGAACTAGAGAGTTCATACCTGTGGGGAGAAAGCTTGAGTCTCCAGCTGGTTAATAAGTTATCCAGGGAAATTCAAGGCCAGGTGTACCTTCAGGCCCTAGGGTCATGTCCAGGTAGTGTCTTCCCAAACTTATTCTGAATAAAGTTACTCACTGAAAGGCTACGAGCACTTAAAAGGGCAGGAGTCAAAGCCAGTGGAGAAGGGAATACTGGACATATTTAGTCTTTTCCAAAAAGTGATTGGTCGAAACCAACGTTCTCATGTAACACCTGGTGGGTTAGCGTGAGGGTGAATTCAGAGGGGACCACAGTGCCCTGGAGCCAGTGGAAGTGGTGGGTGAATCTCCTGGGATCCCAGGGGACTGGTGGACACACCAGAATGTTCCATCCAGATCTAAAGTTGGCAATTCTAATCCAGGCAATTGTCCTCTTCCATAAAATGAAATGCATAATCCTTATTTCTTTGGGTTGTCGCTAGGATTAAATGAGCTGGCATGTGAAAACGTTTAACTCAGTTCTTGTCACCTGCTTGACACTCAATAAACATGAGTTGCTTGACATGGAGATGAGATATTCGAGGAGAAGAACTGTGGCTGTGGGTGCCCAGGATTCTACTGGGGTCAGAACTGGGCTGAGGGCAGGTGCCATTTAAGAGACCACCTGGTTGGGTATTTTGCAAATCCGGCTGTCATCAGAATTGCCTAAGGAACTTCCACTCCCCTTATGCTGGGCAAACACCTGGCACCATCCTTTTAAGAGGAGCCCCCATTTTTCGTGAGCCCTACGCCCCATTCTTCTCACAGCCTCACCATACCTTCTCACCAGCCGATCCTTCACACTCTTCAGTGAAGGATGATTTCAGTTTCCCAAGAATTCCATGTGCATCCTCACCTGCATATTACCACTCGTAAATTACTGAAAGGGAGCCCCACAGAATTAGCTGGTGCATGCAAGTTCCTCCAGGAAGGACAGGCTCCCCTGGGCTCTGTCGCTGCTCCCCGGTTCTCCTGGACGTACACTTGGCTTCCCTGTGCACACAGCAGGCAGCATCTGTACCGCAGACAGGGCCACCAGCCTTGTACTTGTCTTGGTTCCAGTAGCGAGAATTTGTCCTGGGCTCCTATACAACTTTGGGTCGGTGTCTTGGGCCAGGGCTATCGCAACAGCCTGGGAACAGCTGCTAGGTGGAGTCACGCTCACAGAATAGTCTTTGTCTTTGGTGACTTGTTTGTTTCAAGACCTTGGGCGGGAGTCCATCTTGATATTCGTCTCCTTCCCGGAGAACAAAAGCATCGGGCATTTGAAGGAACTGGAAGGAGTTGATTGTCTCCCAAAGAGTTCCCTTTCATCTTCACCTTTCGCTCTCACACCTGGTGCCCCCTCCCTTCAGCCTTAAAGTGCTCAAAAGGAAATAAAATCAAGCTAAGAGTTTTGTGCTTGCCGAGGCATCCAGCCTGGGAATGTTTTATTCGGCCATTAACTAGGAAGATCCCCGGATACCGCCAAACTTGGTGATCTGCTCCTACGTGGTTAGATCGGTTCCTGTCAGACTTTGGCGTGAGTGGATCACCTAGGACAAGATGAGGGCCTGGTCTCCCTTGGCCTCACGGTCAGTATTCAAAAAACTCTGAGTTGCAAAGAGGCCAGCAGAAAATCCACTGTCCCCAGTTTCATCCTCTGGGTCCCCAGGTATTTCCTGGCAGTCACAGCTTCATTTCTCCCGGGACCAAAACTCTGAGGAAAAACTCATCCATTTGCTCCTTCTGGCCAAAGTAAGGGGTCGAGGTGGGAGGGAGGTACACGAGGAGAGGCGGGAGCATGCCCTGAAGCAATGCAAGGAGTAGGGGAAACTGGTCCACCACCATCTGCCACCCAGGCCTCCTGAGGGTCCCACTCATGGCCCAGGCAGAGCTTTTAGGAAGAGCCAGAGAGGACAGCTGGAGCTTGCAAGAAGCGCTCCCCAAAGAGACAGGAGTGAGTGAGGATGAGTCCCAACATGAAGGGCTCAAAATATGGGAGACAGGGCACGAGTGGGAGGGTGGAAGAGAGGCACGTCTGTGCACTCCCTATTAGCCAACACGTAGAAAAGCACGACAGAAAGCTGCTCCAAAAGTAAATAACACTGCATCCTACACCCCAGATAAGTGGGCTCTGAATTTCCACCAAGGCTTGGCCTTCATGAACCTTGCTGGAGATCCTGGAATCAAAACCAAAAGACCCCCAAGGCCTGGAGCACGGGAGCTCTTTGCTTCTCGATGGTGGTGCCAGTGTATGGACCAACGCTTGTCTCTAGAATGGAACAGGGGCCAAGAGGCTGGAAAGGGGGTGTGCCCAGGGCACCAGGCTGCCGGGCTGTAGGAACAGGGCCACTGCGGCGTCAGGCAAGGTTGGGAGTTAGGTGCTGGGAATGCTGGTTTCCTAGCACGCAGGTCTCCCAAGGAGTAAGGTGGTCTCGCTCGCCTTGGGGCAGGGACGGGCTGGGAGGAATAGTGTCTCCCTGCCCAGCACCCCCTTAAGTCTAAGCTGTGCTCTCCCTCCCACAGGAAGCCGAGCTGGAACGCCTGGAACGGGAGTTTGCCATTCAGTCCCAGATAACGGAGGCTGCCCGCCGCCTAGCCAGTGACCCCAATGTCAGCAAAAAACTGAAGAAACAAAGGAAAACCTCTTATCTGAACGCACTGAAGAAGCTGCAGGAGATTGAAAATGCAATCAACGAGAACCGGGTCAAGTCTGGGAAGAAGCCCACCCAGAGGGCTTCGCTGATCATTGACGGTCAGTGCTGGGCCCTCTCCCCACTGCAGGCGGCCCCACTCCCCCAGGAGCCTGGCTCCCTGCATGACCTAGGCAAGCTAGTTAACCACTTGTACCTCACTTTTTCCATCCATAAGATGAAGCTAATAAGGCCTGATACCAATGAGAGCAATAAAGTGCACTCAGGTCCACAGATGAGAGGGTTTATGGAAATTGAACTATCCTCATCACTTATTTATTGCCTCCCTGGGAGAACCTGCAGCCATGGGCCAAACACTACCCTCAGCCCTCACCATGCACTGAGCCGAGTAACTGTGCCAGCCCGGGGCTCACCTGGGCTCTTCCATTCTCACGGACCTGACCAGCCTCCCTAGGTCTGGAAGGAAAGGGGGGTGGCTGGGGCACACTACAGGCCAGCACCCCTTGCCAGCCCCCTGTCCTTCTCAGTCTGACTCTGTCCCCTGGGGCTCCCATCCCAAAGCTGGAGCTGGGCACGGCTGGGCTGCCCCACTCTGACTGTCAGAGCCCTGAACTCCAGTCGGGAGGGGTTAAGAGTTTGGGTGATTATATTTGGTAAACACTAGAAGGAAATACCCCAAATCCACCAACAACCATCAAGTCCCCCGAACTGTTACAATCCTTTTTTTCCCCTAAATCAGAAAATTCTTTAAAATACGTATCAAGTATTCTTTCATGGCTTATGCATGTTTAAAATATTTTTGCTCTAGGAAAACAGAAAGTAGAATAGAGGTTACCAGGGGCTGGGGAGGGGAGACTGAGACTTATTGCTTCACGGGGACAGAGTTTCTGTTTTGGAAGATGAGAAAGTTCTGGACGTGGGTGTGGTGGTTGCACAACAATGCGAATGTGCTTAATGCCACTGCACTGTACAGTTAAAAATGGTTAAAATAGTAAATGTTCTGTTATGTATCTTTTACCATAATTTTGTTTATATATGTCTATATACACATATATGTGTGTGTGTCTATCTATCTATCTATCTATCTATCTATATATATATATATAAATCTACAGCCTAAAAAATATAGGCATACTGGGGAAGCAATGATATACTGGAGACTCCAAGATGCCAAAGTCAAGGCTCTCTGTCTCCTAGTTGTTTACAGTCCATCAAGTAATACGAATAAAGTGAATTCCTAGTTTAAAAAAGAAGGCACCATAAAAAAAATCCTCAGGGCCAGCCCTGGTGGCCTAGTGGTTAAGTTTAGCGCACTGTGCTTCAGCGGCCTGGGTTTGGATCCTGGGTGTGGACCTATACCAGTTGTCAGCAGCCGTGTTGTGGCAGCAACCCACGTACAAATTAGAGAAAGACTGGCACAAGTGTTAGCTCAGGGCGAATCTTCTTCAGCACCAGAAAAAAAAATCCTTTTGCTCTGAGAAATCTGGAATATCCATCTTTCCCCATCTGGCCCTGTTGTCCTTGGCCAAGTCTTTGTCAGTTTTTCCCCCACTTCCTGACAGAGATGTGGGCACCAGCCCTTCTCTGTCTGATGCTCTTTTGAGACCTCTGTCTGCCCTTCAAAGGCACTGGGGATCCCAGCTCTGCAGAAACATCCAGAATGGCCAACAGAGCCGAGTCTGGGAGGGGCACCATAGGGATAATGTCTTGCTGGTCCACCACAGAAGAGCAGGTTTTCCAGCCTGCCCAGTGAGGGCTATTCTGTTAGTATTACCAACAGATGCCATTTTTCAGTCACTGTACCAACTGGTTTGTCATCCCATCCAAGCCTGCAGCCATTGTTTTGTAGCCACTCAAGAACAGACCTTCTCTATTTTGCTGCCTCGTGGAAATAATATTCTCCTCACACGAGCCCCACTTAAATTAGAGGCGTGAGGAATTTAGGTCTTCTTAGTTCCTTAGTGTGGTTTTCTTTTTCAAGAGATAAAAAACACAAAACTTAGAATCTGAAGACCTGGGACCTTTTGCCAGGAGAGCAGAGCAATCCCAGACATACCATTCCTCCCTAGCCACGCCTCAGTTTCCCCAGCTGTTACAGATGGGAGATTGTCTACTGTCTCCCTCTGGGGAGTGTTCTCGTGGTGAATTGAATGGTGTCTATGAAAATAAGCTTTGGAGACACAGAAGCTGTGTTTAGCAGCTTAAACAAGCTTCTCTCTACTAATGACTTAAGAAGTTTATTGAGAAGCCATTTATTGCTGTATGAGCAAAGCTAAGCTCCTTACCCTAGTTTCGCATTTGTGGGATAAATAGCAGTTCGCTTCCTTTGGTTTAGTCGGGACATGCCCTGAGGTTGGACTGGAACAATGATGTGGCTTAACCAGGCCAGGCAGCCTTTATGTTGGATATCCAGCTACTCAGCATTGCAGTGTCCTGTGAAACAAGAGCACAAATACACAAAGGCAGGGCCACATTGCAGTGTCGGGGTGAGGGGCATGAGGTAATGACCCACCACAGGGACAGTCAAAAGAAATGCCCAACAGCATTTTCATTGTATTTCATGGGTTCTTTCTGATTAGAAAGAGAAGGATATGGGATGGTGCTAAACATGCAATTTTCACAAGTAGCATTTTGGCCAAGGGATGTGCTAAACTCACAGACTTTCCCTTTTTGTCTTCTCAGATGGAAATATTGCCAGTGAAGACAGTTCCCTCTCAGATGCCCTTGTTCTAGAGGATGGTAGGTTTTCCGTGTCTTGCTTGAGAACTCGGAGCACAGATTAAACTGGGATTAAGCTGTGTGTAGTCTGGGACAGCCCAGTGGGAAGGCAAGAGCCAGTCCAAGATGGCAGCCGGATTCCTCACAAATCTCTCATTTCCCAGTGTCTCCTATTTGGTTGGGAGTGGGTGGGTGCTACATAGCCATGTCTTTTGGAATTTTAGTATTTCCTGTGGCCCAGAGGTCAGATTTAAGGTGATATTCAGTGAGTAATGCTTCACTTTTTTAGTTGCCAAAACCATGTTTTTAACTAAACAGAGAATCTGAACACCATGCGTAGTTTCCTTTTGAGTATTCATAATTTCTGGAAGAAAGAGGTGGACATTGATTTGGATCCCAAATCAAAGATTGAAACCTACTGAGAGAGCCTGGGAGCTTCAGGGACACAAGAAACTCTCTATACCTTCCTGAGAAATAGTGAAAATGAAGAGGCAGATGTCCCTTTGGATGCCTGGTCACGCCTTGAAAATCATCTTATTATTTCCCAGGGAACTCTAAAAACCTCATGATTATCAGGATATTTTCTTGGGAAATTCTTAGAAAAACACAACTGATCCCCCACACTCACCCCCTAGCCCACCATCACACATTGGGAACGAAAGGATTCCAGACACGCAACCATCTCCGAGAAAGTTCCTGTGGCTGGTTAAACCAAAACTTGGGAGGCCGGGGTGTTAATGATATGGAAATATATTAAGTGGCAGTTAATTTTTTGCTCTTAGGGAACCCTCAGGCGGGTAGTGATAAGTGGCTATTCAGACAGAAAACATTAAAGGTCTACCCAAGTCATAGCCATAATGATAATTGCAAGAATAATAGTAATTGCTATTGATGTGGGGAAAGGCTGGCGGGTTATTCACCCAGTTGTCTTGGCCCCGCTATGAGCAATCAGATGGTAGTATTTTTATCGTCAGCTTCGTTACATGGTGGGGAGGAGATGGGGCCACCGGGGAGCAGGAAGCTGTGTTTCGAATATTAGAGATCCAGCCCTGGTTTGGGCCTCTGTGGACTCCAGTCTCTCCAGGGGAGGCAACGAGAACGAGTCAGTGAGATTCCTCTGTAATAGAGGAGTTAGGGAGGTTTATGTAGTTGTTAGCGAATTTTGATGCATCGTTTGTGAGTACAGTTTCCTTCCCATGTTTCAGACCTGCAGCCTCTGCAGGGGCGTTAGGGCCTCACTGGGACCTCCCCCAACAACTCCCATCGCAGGCTCCCTCCTTCTGGGAACTCTTTCCTTTGCTGATTTGAGTACTAAAAGAGGAGTGGAAGCCTAGTGTGTGTCCAGGGTTCAAGGATGGGAGTTTGAGAAGTAGGCTTGGAAGACAATACTAGATGGAGATGGAAAGGTCATGGGGCTTCTGAGGTTTGCTTCTGTGTATTTTTCCCCTCCAACTCCCACCTCTACCTCTCTGCCTTCATGAGGAACACTGCATTTTTCCTGCCTCTGTCTGCTCAAGGCCGCCCTCCCCCAGGTTCTCAACACTGGATGTCTTCCTTCCTTAACCCCTCCCCAGCCCCTCTCCCAGCCTTGCCCACTTTTGACCCCTGCCAGATGACTGGTTCTTAAACAGGATTTCCATCCTGACACATCCATAATTAAGTTGCAGAGTTTTCCTGTGGCTTTCAGACCGAATCCTGACTCCTTAGCCTGGAACTGAAAGCCCCCTGTCAGCTGGGGCTCTTGCTTGTCCCAGTGCACACAGTAGGTCTGCACTCCCTCTCCCCCTCTGCTCTGCCCCCCCAGGCGCAGCCCCAGTTGGATGCAGCCCTGGGCTCTTCCTTTTGTCCGCCCCTCTGCCATCCACGCTGATTCCCCTCCCACCAGCCTCGCCTACTCTTCCCTCTTTGACTGACGGACTTCACTTCCTCTGAAAGTCCCCCGGCACCCTGAGGTGTTCGATCATCACTCCCCCGAAGGCAGGCACTAGTCTTCTTTCATATCTACTGTTTGTAGCTTGTCTCCTTCCCAGAGACCCTAAGGCAGTTGCAGAATGCAAATGTCACACAGGAACACGTTACAAGCCAATATAGACAGTCTGAAAACGCAGAGACGGTAGATCGCTAGAGCCACCGGCAGGTAATTACACTCGACAGATAAACGTTCATTCATTTTTTCCAAAAATATCTCTTGAGCACCTACTATGTGTCAACAGTCATTCTAGGCCCTGAAGATGTAGCCGTGAACAAAACAGACAAAACCTCCTGGAGCTGAAACTCCCCTGAAGCAAATTAGACGCGGACCGTCTATTGAAGGAACACTGACAGTATAATAATGACTATATTTGGCTGTTGGGTGTGAAGCAATCGTTTGTCGTTGGTGTTTAATGAAATTCAGCCTTGACTCCATTTGTAGATAATCAAAAGGGAAACTGCTCTTCCCTTTTAGTGCTGCTCCAAGGTTGGGCTTGGTTCGGTCTGGTTCGACTTGTCTTGACAACTGGGGAAGAGTCATGGGGCACCTTCAAAGGGCGGATGCCTGTCTGGTCCCCAGAGGTTGATGTCAGGGCGGAGGTGGGCGGGGGTGTGTCTGGGGGCCGTGGGAAGGATGACCCTTGCTCAGTGCCTCTCTTTCCGTCTTTGTGCAGAAGACTCTCAGGTCACCAGCACACTGTCCCCCTTACAGTCCCCTCACAAGGGACTTCCTCCTCGGCCACCATCACACAACAGGCCCCCTCCTCCCCAGTCCCTGGAGGGACTCCGGCAGATGCACTATCACCGCAACGACTATGACAAGTCCCCCATAAAGCCCAAAATGTGGAGTGAGTCCTCCTTAGATGAGCCTTACGAGAAGGTCAAGAAACGTTCCTCCCACGGTCATTCCAGGTGAGCGGGGTCGGGGAGGTCACTGAAAGAATCAAAGGCTGCCCCAAATAGCATCCACCAGTGGCAAAACCCCAATCAGCCTATTTCCTCCTTCCTGGGGTGGTCTTTCAACAGCGCCGCGCGCACAGCGCCCTCTGCTGCTGACCCTGTTGAGGTGCAGATTTGTCATTCCAAGGGAAATTGGGTTTTTGGCTCACAGTCAGTGTGTTGGCAGATGGCTTTAATGTTGTTAAATTCCACGGGAATTAATTAGGAAATCTTAGGTAGCATTATTCCAGAATGGTAAGTCAGAGACCACTCGTAGGAATCCCAAAGTGGTTTCAAACCTTAAACCATCCTCCAGCAGAATTCTGGAGCCAAACAGCTGTAACCTTAGCTGGGCATTATCAGCTCGTTACTCGGCTGATGATGTAGAGAGGGTTTTTTGGAAGAGATTTTTGGTCTGCTTCTCTGTTTTTCTCATTTCCTTTCGTTACACCCCATAAAGCTGTAAGTGGGTGCCCAGACAGGTAAATATTTGTCTTTTGGAAAACAGACTCTGTGGTTGAGGGCAAGGCCTTCACAGAACACTCACGCTACCTGTTACAGAGAAGGTTGACGAGAGTCTTCATCTCACATGCCATGGGGGTCAGGGACGGGAAGCGCCACCCACTCCTGGGGGAAAGGGTGAGAACCAAAGTAGAGATCTGAGGGAGCGATCCTGGGCAAGCTTTCCTGCCATCAAGATTGATGTCCCAAGGCTTAGTCAGCAACCGGAGAACAGGTGCGGTTCTGCCTGGCAGTGACCAGCATGGCCTCCTCTGGTTTGCAGTGGCCACAAGCGTTTCCCCAGCACGGGGAGCTGCGCCGAAGCAGGCGGGGGAAGCAGCTCCCTGCAGAACAGCCCCATCCGCAGCCTGCCTCACTGGAACTCGCAGTCCAGCATGCCGTCCACGCCAGACCTGCGGGTCCGGAGTCCCCACTACGTTCATTCCACGAGGTGAGTCCACTCCGCCCTTGGCCATCTTCCTCCCTAAACCAGACCTTCCTTTGTAAACTTTGGCAGTGCTGACTCCAACGTGGTCCAGATAATGGGTGAGCTAGAGTCAGGCCTGAACCAGTGAGGTAGGTTCTTCTTAAAATGAGGCAGAATAGAAAACTGAGCTGGTAGCAGTAAGCCCGTGTTAGTCAAGAGACCCCTTCTATCCTACTGTCCATGCTCCATGGGCACTGGGAGTAAGCCAGAGATTCCTCTGGAGACAGAGGGCGTGGAAGGAGCTTTCCTAATCCAAATGCAGGCAGGAAAGGCCAGCCAGATTAGCCAGGAAGAGTGTTGGGACCAGAACGACCTTGTACTGCTGGGCTCATCTTTATTGGATAGTCCTCATATATCTTTCTACTGGGGCCTAAATTTATTCGGACTTTTTAATGCCTCAAGACGTAAATTCATTAAAGCGCAAAGGGAACAGGCAAAAGTGAGGCTCCCGTGAATCACACCTTAATTTTCTAACAAAAGGCAAAACCAAAGCCATCATTCCATTTTATCAAAAACTGAGCCCATAGGGACCGTGGCCCAAGAGACAGATGGTGTAATCTGCCATAAGTAGTGACCCATTTTATGTGGGATAAGGTTGAGCTCTCCAGGCAAGATTGCTTCCTTCCTTCCTTCATCCATGCATTCATTCATGCATTCTTCATTCATGCATTCATGCAACAAATATTATCAAGTGCCTATATGAACCAGGTGCTATTCTAGGGGGTAGAGCGGTGAAGGAAACGGACCACACCCCTGCTCTCCTCAGATTTTAGTTGGGAGAGAGTCACAGTGAAAAAATATGTCAAGCAATGATAAGCACTAAGAATAACAATGAACAGGACAAGGGGCTAGAGAGAGAAGGGAGAGATCATCTTTTCAATGGAGGCATCAGAGAAGGCCTCTCTAGTAAGGTGACACCTGAGGATACTCAGGGGACAGCAAGGTCAGAGCCCTGGATGCAGGCCTGCACTTGGCATATTCCCAGGAGGCCAGTATGGCCAGAACAGAGTGATGGAGAGGGTGGGACCAGAGAGGAAACTGAGAACCGAGTCACAGAGGGCCACATGGTAGGGACTTCACGTTCTATCTAGAAGGACAGTCAGAACTAGAATTCGCCTCTTCCTGGACTTGGCCAACCCGTTTACCTGTAGTCCTTGCATCTTGTCCCGGCCATATTGCTGGATAGTCATAGTGTGGACCTGCATAAGCAGAATGGATGACACACAGTAGTGGCCTGGTAAGTATTGCATCGGTCATTTTTTAGTGTTCCCTGTACCACCAACCTTCCAATTTAAGGTCTTCATGGGCAATGGAAATCTGTTTATGTGGATTTTATACTGGTATTTAGTTGAACCATATGAAGGGCTTCTGCTGGACTGTTTTGTGACCTACAAAAATGGGCATGTTATCTAGTTTAGCATAATACTAGAATAGGGTTTCTCTTGGTTCTTTTTCTATCTATAGAATCCTTTTCCACCTTAAAAAAAAAAGCCCCTGGTTACTGGCATACATTTTTCAGAGAAGAACCCTCCTGTGGGTTGTCTTCAGTCCCCCCTCCCACTCGGAATCCAAAGTCACAGCGGAGGCCCGGCTCGCCTCCAGGGATCAGCAGCCCCCTCCTGCCCCGTCTGCACCTGGGAACAAAGGGGAGCATCTGGACGGCCAGGGCAACCCTGTCTAGGCTCTCAGTTTCCCAGGCGCGCATTTGCTGGAGGTTCCGGGCTGCGTGCGTTTTGCTCTTTCCCGACTGCGATGATTGCAGAGCCCCTCCCTCCTCCCGGACACCCCTCTCCTGGGCCCCCCAGACTCACCGAGCCATCTCCCCGCAGGTCAGTGGACCTCAGCCCCACGCGACTGCACAGCCTCGCCCTGCACTTTCGGCACCGGAGCTCCAGCCTGGAGTCCCAGGGCAAGCTCCTGGGCTCGGAGAACGACACGGGGAGCCCCGACTTCTACACCCCACGGACTCGTAGCAGCAACGGCTCCGACCCCATGGACGACTGTTCCTCCTGCACCAGCCACTCGAGCTCGGAGCACTACTACCCGGCGCAGATGAACGCCAACTACTCCACGCTGGCCGAGGACTCGCCGTCGAAGGCGCGCGCGCGGCAGCGGCAGCGACAGCGCGCGGCGGGCGCGCTGGGCGCGGCGAACTCGGGCAGCATGCCCAACCTGGCGGCGCGCGGCGGCGGCGCGCACGGCGTCTACCTGCACAGCCAGAGCCAGCCGAGCTCGCAGTACCGCATCAAGGAGTACCCGCTGTACATCGAGGGCAGCGCCACGCCCGTGGTGGTGCGCAGCCTGGAGAGCGACCAGGAGGGCCACTACAGCGTCAAGGCGCAGTTCAAGACCTCCAACTCGTACACGGCGGGCGGCCTGTTCAGGGAGAGCTGGCGTGGCGGCGACGAGGGCGACGCAGGCCGCCTGACGCCGTCGCGCTCGCAGATCCTGCGGACTCCATCGCTGGGCCGCGAGGGCGCCCACGACAAGGGCGCGGGGCGCGCGGCCGTCTCGGACGAGCTGCGCCAGTGGTATCAGCGCTCCACAGCCTCCCACAAGGAGCGCAGCCGCCTGTCGCACACCAGCTCCACCTCCTCGGACAGCGGCTCCCAGTACAGCACCTCCTCCCAGAGCACCTTCGTGGCGCACAGCAGGGTCACCAGGATGCCCCAGATGTGCAAGGCCACGTCAGGTGAGAGTGGGGACGGGGGAGCAGCCCTGCGCGCACATGGTCCAGCCTGAGTGTGAACTGTTGACCGATTTCAAGGGCTTCCAGATTTTCTTAGAGCTTGCAGTGACAAAGAGAACGTTAATTCTAGAAAGCTAGCTGCCAGATGTGTGAGACTTGACGTCTTCCGACCCTCCTCCTTCACCCCCTCCCATTCTAGCCCTGATTTTGCTGAGTGACAAAGATCAGGGGGCAGGGCTGCACTTCCGTGTGGGCTGGGCCATTACAGCTTCCTTAGTAGGGGTGCAAACCATCCCTCCAGCCACCTCTCCTTCTAAGGATAGATGTCAAAGGCATTATGTGAAGTCATGTCTCAGCGTTTGTCCAGTCAAAGGTGCACCTTCCCCTGGCGGACAGTGAGATGCTATTACATTAGACTCCTGAGTGGCACCCTTGCAGAGGAAAGCTTGCTTTGGGCACGGACTTGGGTCATGCAGCCCTGAGATCTGGCCAGCGTCTCCCCAGGTGGAGGCAGGCTGGCTACGAAGGGAGTGGCCGAGCTCAGCGTTTGACCTCACCTGTGACTGGGAACTCCTGACTGCTCCTTGCATTCCCATTTCAATGATATTGGGATGCAACCAAAGTAATCTTCATAAAGTGCTTTCAATACGTTGATATTACATCTTAAAATTTTCATAATTAAGGGGTGCCTTGTAGTCTTGTACTCAGAGCACTGAGCAGTGCTGAATCAGTACAAAATGGAAGAAACCGTCCTTTCCCTTAAGACGTTACATTCCCTTCCCACTCCCTCTCCAAGGAATAATGAGGGTGATGCTATCCAGCGATTGTTCAGCAGTCACTAGCGTATATGAACTCCTGGACACACTCGTAGCATCATAAAGAGAGGGGAGACTCGTGCAGGGATAAGACACTCTGTAGCCCATTGACTGTAAGAAAAGAAAGTGGGGGAGGATTTCGAGACATGATAAAAATGATTTAGAAAGTATAAGAATAAAAGGAGAGTCAGCAGCAGATGGAAGGAACTCCACGTCAGGATGTGACTTGTGCCTGGAAAGAGGCTTAAGTCAGGGCAAAGATCAGGGGAGAGAGGGCAATCTTACAGAAGAAAAGGTGGGGTTCATTTCTGGGGAGCTGAAGGAGACGCCTGGGGACTGGAGAGAGCCGGGCAGAGAGTAAGGACCGGCTGGCTGCCCAGGTGTGCCATGCCACACGGCTCCTGCGTCTCTTCCCATGTTCCCATTGACTTGTTTATTTTGGTGCACTGGCCAAATAACAAGTTCCAGAGAAGAGAATAGAAGTGATTCAGGCAATCGTGAGAGAACCATGGACCTCAATGAGCCTTCCCCGTATTCCTACTTCGTCTGTAAAGTTAGCCCAGTGAAATGCGCCACCAACTTCCCGGGAGGGTTTTGAGAACGAATGAATGAGTATATGAAGCATGCCATTTCAAGAGCATGGTTCTCTGTACACCTGCTGGAAGCAGCAACGGTCCGAGGAGGGACAGGAGCGTATGTTCCTTCAAACTGCAGCACTTGCCTAGTAGATTTGCTTTACTTAAAGAGATCAGGTAAATCTTTCGGAACATATTTTAAGACTAAAAATTCTAAGAAGCTGGATCTGAGATTTCCTGATGAAAAAGATCCCATTCCCAAGAAAGCAAAGGATGCCTTTAAGTAGGATTTACTTCCTACTAAGTTTTCCCCACTAGGAAAATCCTGCCCACGTCCGTCAACTCCTAGCAGTCAGATCTGGAGGAGCTGTTAAAAACCCTGCCCCCTTGGAAGGTCTTAAAGTGGTAAATTATAAGCCTGGAAAGGCAAAGAGAGCAAGCTGTGAGAACCTTTCTGGAACTTCTCTGTTCTTAACGAAGAACACAGTTTTAACCGTGGGCCACATCTGAAAATGCCCTGAGGTGTATCTCCCTGGGGTCCAGAGAAAGAGGCTCTCCCTGCTTCTCAGCCCAACCCAGCTCTCCCTCAAAGGACTGTGTGGGCATCGGGTTCTTTGCTGCTGTCTAGCCTGTCCCCATTCCTGTGGCCACTTCCCAGTGGCAGAGCAGGGGCGTGGGATCCCAGGTCAGCCTGACTCAGAATGGAGCTGCATGGTTTGGGGGAGAAGATGGAATTAGCCAAATGTGGGGGAGGGATGGATGTTTCCCCACTGTGACCCTGCCACGGGGTCATAGCGAGCATCCCTGGGAAGAAGGTCCCTCACAGACCCCCCGTGTCTGACGCCCGTCTTTTCTGCGCCACCTACACACAGCTGCCTTACCTCAAAGCCAGAGAAGCTCAACGCCATCGAGTGAAGTTGGAGCGACCCCCCCAAGCAGTCCCCACCACATCCTAACCTGGCAGACTGGGTGAGTTCCCCTTTCAGACCTTTAATCCTCCACTTCCGGGTGCTAGAATGATCCTCAGCATTCCTTGTCAGGTAGGAAGAGTGCAATGAGTGTCAGATCCTAGTGACAGAAGAGTTTATCAGCAGCAGAGTGAGGAGTGTTCGTTACGGGGAAACCCCTTCCTTTCTAAAGAAGCCCCATGAACTGCTGGTACCCTCTACCCCTTTCCTTTCCATCACTGTCCCTTTATGCGGGTGAATTCTCTCTTTTAAAGTTGGCAGTGGTCCCGGAACAGCTGGGAAGGTGGGTGTCAGAAGTCGAATTGCACTTCTTTGGTCCGAATTCCAGGCAGCATTTGATTTGGGTTCTGATTGTGCCAGGCTGACTTCAAAATGCCAGGCAAGAAGGAGAGGGGGAGACAGAATGGTTTAGGCACCTGCTCTGGGCTGGGCCCGGCCCAATGTTTTAGATGCTTTGCAGTGTCAGGATGCATCTTAAGAAAAAAGGCAGGAGGCTCAGATCCCATCTCGGTCCTGGCCAAATGCTTATTCTTAATCAACAAAGGGAATCAGGTACCTTGAGACCTTTAAGAAGCGGCCCACAGCAAAATGAACCCCAAGTTCAGCTCCTTTTGTGGCTTTAAATGTAGGCATAGAGCGTTATAATCTCGTGGCCATTTGATCTACTGAAGAGTCCAGCAGATGCACATAACCTGCTTTCTTCACAATTCCTGCCTTTTCTGATGCTCCTAAGACGTCACCTCTAAGTAGATGTTATGTCCTATCAGTGCCTGTTGGGTACAGGAGTTATGGGTCCCTCTATCTGGCTTTATTCAGTTTCTAGTTTGCTGGACCATCAGTGGGGATGTCTGGAAAAATTTGACAGCTGTGAGTTGAATCATCAGAAAAAAACAGGACCCAAATTGGCTTCACTGACTGCATTTCAGGCTCCCATGCTTGGCAGACATTTCTTATTCTTGAAAACTTATCTATAATGATTTTAAACCAGGCTTTATGGTGCCTTAGTATTTGATAGAAGAGAAGGGGAGCTAACTTTTATTGAGTGCTTGCTGTGTACTCAAAGGCTGGGAGCTTCTACTAACATAAATGAGCTCATACGATCCTCACTGCAAACTTGCAAGGGAAATACCCAGATCTTTTAGTTTTATAGATGAGGCGCAGAGAAAGTAAAGTGCCTTGCCCAAAGTCACACAGCTGGATGGAGCTGGAATTTTAGCCCTGCGCTCTGTGATCCCAAAGCCCTGTCTTTTCCCACCAGGCCAGTGGTTCTTAATGTTCGGTCCCCACACCAGCAGCATGAGCATCACTGGGCTCTTGTTAGAAATGCAGATTCTCGGGCCCATCCATGACCTACTGACTCAGCAGCTCTGGGGTGGGACCCTGCAGTCTGTGTGGTAACAAGTCCTCCAGGGTTTTCTGATGCACTCAAGTTTGACAATCCCTGAAGTACCCCAAGCTCCCTCTTAGTCCTTATGAATTAAGAGAGCGTACAGTCCCGACTACGCTGTTCTTGTGTCCACTCCCACTTCTTGGTCTGTCTTTCGAGCAACAGTCACCCCTCTGTCCTTACTACAGGTCATAAAATACTCCCTTACATGCCGTCCACACCCTGGCTCTAGCTCGTGTGGTCAGGCAGCTGCTGCAAAGCCTAGGGCCCAAGATTTCACCAAGATTCATTCATAAAAGGATGGCAGATCGTCTCTATATGTGGTACCTCCAGTGGCTAAACCATCTCACCCAAGTAAGGAACTTCTGATTTCTGGCACGCTCTCTCTGGATCCTCCAAATTTTCTGGATCATGCCCAGTCTCACCTGATCCAAATATATGATTATTTGACTGAAAACAGCAGGCTCTGGAATTTATGGGCACCCCTCACATGTCTACACACTTGAGATGGTCTTGAAACCTGCCGTATTTCACCACCTACAGCTAGTGAGGACTCAAGACAAATTCGAAACCAAAAGATATTTTGGTCCTCGAAGTAAAGTTTTATCAGATTGAGCTGAATTATCATTAACAATAACTGTTCTCTGTGATGTGGTAAGAAAATGAGAAATGGGTAAAAAGTGGTACAGCCTGCCTCCCTGATAAAACCAAAGAGGTCTTTTGACTCATTACTCATGGGGGTTGAAAGTTCTGCGTGACGTATATTCTTTGTCACTAACACTTGGGTGTACAGTCAACTGGTCTTGCCAATGTATTAATAAGCTACTAATCATGTCTGTGTCAGTTCCTCTCTTTAACATGACCTCTCTTCTCTTCCTTCTGCTTTCCTTTGTTCAGAGAAGCAACAGAAAACTCGCCCATTATGGATGGGTCTGAGTCTCCAACTCACCAAAGTACTGATGAATAGAGGTATCGTAAGGGAATGCTTTGTTCTTACAGCCCTTCCGCTTCCCCCTCATGACTTTGTGGTCTCAGATGTGCTGCACGTGGGTTGCCCTTCCCCATATCTTAACTTGCAGAAGGAAACATCTGAATGGTGTGGAAGCTACTGTTTGTATGTCTTGTTTCTAGATACATGTGGATCTCGATATATGTTTATATGTATGTTTTGCATCAGATGTTAGGTGCTCCCAATGCTACTGCCCAGGAAAGACCTCAGAGTATGCTTTGCACCTTCCCAGGCTCTACAGGCATACACATACTTGTAGAAGCTTTTACTGGTTTAGTAAATGTCTGGGGAGCACTTCGGAGCCATGGTCCCCAAGACCCAAAGCAGTCAGACTCAAATAAGTCAAAGAAAGGCCCCATTGAAGGAATCGCTTCCTTAGTAATCAATGCCCATGAAAAGAACAACATCATGTAGTTTATGGTTCAAAATACCAAGGGCAGATGGAATTGTTCCAGAAGCACCTGGAGATCACCCATTATTTCGTCCCCGCATTCTTGAGTGACAGCTAGGTACTCTACCAAATGCTGTTTTCCAAAATGTGGTCCATAGACGAGCATGAGCAGCAGCAACAGCAGCAGCAGCAGCAGCATCAGCAGCAGCAGCATCACCATCACCATCACCTGGGAGCTTGTTAGAAAGCTAGGCTCCTGGGCCTAGTGAATTTGAGTCTGCATTTTAACAAGATCCCTGGGTGAATGAAATGCACGTTAGAATTCTCAAAGCACTGCTATAGTGGGCATAAAAACAGTAACACCTGGTCTGGTTCCTGTCCTCAGGGACCAAAATCTAACTGGGACACAAGACATTGAAATTAAATAGCATTTCAAGGCTTACCAAAAAAGATAAGGATGCCATTCAAAAGTGGATAAAAAGCCATAAGTTTATTTAATAAAAAAATTGAACTCTGACTATATTCAAGAAACCATGTTAGAGATCGGAGTTCCAGGAGTTCAAATTGAAATCAACAATATAAAAGTCTATCAGGAGACATACAAGGGAAGTAAGAAACTGTGGCATTTTTGTATTAAGTGCTCTGAGACTTTAAACAAAGTGCTAAAAGGATTCCGAGGCCTGGCTTCAAAAGCTTGCAATGGGAGGAGAGGGGGTTAGACAGGTGGGGCTGAGAGAGGCCGTGCCAAGGGCAAAAACACAGATGCAGAAACAAGCAGGGTGCTTGGGGGTCAGCGCAGAGTCCCATTTTGCTGTAGAGAAAGAGCCGGACTTCAGCCTGAAAAGTCAAGGAGGACAAGAGCCTGAACAAATTAGGAGAGTGACAGGGAACAATATTTACTGCAGGTCCCGGGAGTTGGCACATGGAGGATTAGGAAAATAGGGGCTTAGCCTTTGAGAGGAAGGTGGTGGTAAAAAAAAATTCAACTGAGTAAAACTGAGAGATCTTCTTGGCTTTATTGAATTATTCATGAAATGGGCAGCATCCATCCAGCAGGTAGGAGCTCCAAGGAGCTGTACAAAATGGAAGACTTTTACAGGCAGAGAGGAGCAGGCACAAGGAAGCTATACTAGGCAAAAAAGCAGGTCGTTATTGCAAGGTCACCTTCCTTTAGGAGGTGGCTAGGGTCTGTCAGGAAGATCATCTAGCTAGTGCTGATCAGGAGATTCCTGAGGGACTGGTTTAAGATTCCATTTGTGGGAGAGCCGAAACTAATTAAGTCTTGATTTGGTGACAAGGAGTTTAGTGTAACTGACACCATTTTGGATCTTTGTCTTATTAACAATTCTCCACTTTTGACCAGATTCTCAGCCTGGGAGATGTGATCAACATTTAAGGCGTTAACACTGCTCCCAGCTACCGCTCTGGAGTTCTCGCAGTTTTTTGCTGAATTTCTGTGTGGTATTCACAGGTCGTGACATCATGTTCACATTCTTTAAGTCAGTCATTCTCTTTGTTCCTTTTCTGACGATCTATTCTTAGATCATTTATTTGCTTGGTGGTTAGCGGTCGAGAACATGCATTTAAAGCTTTTGAGAGAATGCAGCACACCAGGGAGATTATAATTATTATAAACAGGATCATCCCGATGTCTGGAGAGCACTTAGGAGCCGTGGTCCCCAAGACCCAAAGCAGTCAGACTCAGATAAGTCAAAGAAAGCCCCCATTGAAGGAATCACTTTCTTAAGCCGATGTTCAGTGATCTTATGTAACTGAGTCTCAACTTCCCCGTGTTAACCCAGGTGCGGCAAGTAGTGCTGGCCGCAGCACAGACACCTCCTTGCTCAGCTAAAAGATAATCAAGGGCTATCTTACTATCAAGAACTTTGGCCAGAGAGCCTAGGGATTTTTGTTGAGCAGCTGTTGCTTTAGTAGCAGATTCTGCAGTATCTTCAAGAGTTAAGGAGAGGTTCCTGATCACAGCCTCACTCACGCTTACTCCGAGCCAGGGGAGCAGAGCTCTGCCAAGGGAAGCAAATTCTGAATCCTGAATGCTTTTTGGTAATTGCCGCTTGAGTCTGTGGCTCAGGACTCAAAAGCTGACAGCCATGGAGGCCAGAAAAATGTAAGCATCTGTATACCACACAGGTGGTTTCATTTTGGCTACCCTTGCTTTATATCCCTTTCTTTGTACAGAGGCTGGAGGCCAAGTTCCCCTGGTCTGGGGTTGTTTACCAGACAGGAAATGGATGCCAGGGTTAGGGGGTATGACTTGATAGAGAGGGAGCTGAGTTTGGCCCAGAGAAACTGAGGCAGTGGAAATTGGAGAAGTTTGTAACGGGCAGAACTACAGGATCACCAGCATCGTGGCAAACCCACCAGTCATTTGGAGGTTGCATATACCCCTTGGAAGGCCTGAGATATGCAAACAACAGCATAATCTTTCCAGGCAAGAGCAAGGCAAAAGGTGGAGGAAAGAATCATAAAGACCTTCATGGTGTAGGAATTAGGAAAGGGACGAAGAGGGAAGGAGGAATGGAAAGAACATTCTTGATCCGACGTCTGGAGAGGAAGCAGTCTGCCTCACTGCCGGCTGCTCCTCTTCCTAGTCAGTTGGACTTTGAGGGC